GGGGACGAGATCGGCGGCCTCATCCAGCCCGGCGACATCATCCGCCTCACCAAGGGGTGCGTACGGGCGCCGTGTCCTCCGCAGGCCCTTCCGTGTCCCCGCTGGGCACCCCCGCGGAGAGCAGGGCCTCGCCTGGGCGCCTCGTGTCACATGGCGGTGCTGGCAGCAGGGCCGGGTGGTGCCTTGGCCGGAGTCCTGTGGCGCTCACACGCTGCGGGACGCATTGCTGTCCTGGGAGCAGCTAACCCGCCTCGCGGAGAGGGTAATTTCTGAGAGGTCCTTATGCAGCTCCTTGCAGGGGTGACAGGCGCCGCTCGGGAGCAGCGTTGCTGTCCCCTGCCCCGTGCGGCTGCTGCCGCGCGTGGGAGCGTCACTGCGGCCTGTGTGAGCCTGGCTCGTGTGAATCAGAGCTGTGAGCCAGCACCCGTGTTTGCAGAGGGCTAAATCGCACCCTTGTCTGCACAAATTGCACCCTTGCCCTAGGACAGAGCGTGGTTCATCCTGCTCTGGGGCTCCTCTTGGGGTGCCCTCACACTGGCGTGCAGGCTTCCCTATGCGCTCATCTGTTTCTGCCCTAGTATTTTCAATTTCATACTTAAATAACATTATTCCATTCAGGCACTGCCACTGTGTAGGTGAGTTTCACGTAGGTAGGCTGATCCTGACCCCTTTGCTGCGCAGGCTGCTCGCTGTGGTGAAGCTTAGCTAGGCCCCGCAGCAGCGCTGCCTCCCGCTGAACTGTTTAGCTCTTCAGAAGCTGCAGGTCTTTGAGACCAGCTGATTCATTCCTTCACAGGAAGTAGCTGCTTTTGATATTTCTACACACAAGCTTGAGTGTAATGTTTTACAGGCCTTACTCTCCTTTGAGGTGAAGAACCTGAGTGGTTAACGATGCTGAGGAACTAAGAGCTTCTCCATTACCTCATTTGTGGTGCCTCCTCCCAGCAAATGGGTGTTTGGCTTCTTTTGCCTCTTTAGTGGTAGTTCTGCTTTGCACCCTGTCCAGCTGACTGGATATGGAAAGTTAGGTGTCCATAAGGCCTTTTTTAAAGGAAAAAGTGGACACTAAACACTTCCCATACTGCTGGAAGTGTATGTTCTGCAGTGAACAAGGGCAATTCCTCCTGGCTTCGCTTTGGCTCCTGTTGTAGGAATGAGAGTTGTCAGTGACTGGTAACGTGGATATTGCTCTTGACTGTTCCCGCAGAAGAAGGGCATTTTGCCAAAAGGGCCCTTGCAGCTAGGGAAGGAGTGTCAAATCTCAGAGTAGCTGCCTGCTTTCCTGGCACTCCCTGAGGTGTTCACGTGGCTTCCAATACTTTTTGCTAAGTTTAAAAAAAAAAGGGGGGGGGGATTCATAAACTTCTAGCACAGTAAAACTGAGCCCACTTGGTTTTTTGGTAGATCCTTCTTACTGGTATGAAATGTTCCTCGAGGAGGGTGTGTTTTGTTGCTTTCTTGCAGCAAAAAATATGTCCTCAGCTAAAGGAGTCTGCTGTGTGTGTCCCTCTTGTCCAGGTACGCCTCTCTGTGGAAGGGATGCCTGACGCTTTACACGGGGCGAGGCGGCGAGCTGCACAAAATTGGGGAGTAAGTACTGCTTGTGCTTGTGGTACGCGTGCCCTAGCCGCAGCGGGGCACTGCGGTGAGTATGAGGAGGGGTTAGGGCACCACAAATATGCTTGTTGCACTCCCCAGGAGCTCCAGCCCTCTGGAGAGGGATCCTCCTTCCTGAGCACATAGGATGGCAGCACTTTTAGCAATCTGAGACAGGCCTGGGGCTTTCTGAGAGGGGAGGAAGTGAACAAACTGGCAAGGGCCTGAATCTGCACTGCTGACTCAAGTTTGAGCAGCTCCTTCCTCTTGGTGGGAGCCCTTTCCCTATGCTCAAGAGGAACAGTGCAAAGGAGGAAGCTGGATGAATGTTAGTGGAACAGAAGCCAGCCCCTTGAAACCTTCCTGAAACCCTCTGCAAAGTGAGCAGGTGACCCTTGCTGGCGGTCAGGACAGACCTTTACTAAAGCCCTTCCTGTGCGGTAGGAAAAACAGTAACCAGAAGAACTTCCACTGTGACACAATGTGACAAAAAAACATTGCAGCTATTCGGGAAGTGCATCTGTGGGGTGGCTGCCTCGTGGTTCAACAGGGCTTCGTGCTGGGGTTTGAGAGGTGCCTTGCAGATTCCTGTGGCTAAGTCATTGCCTCACAAGTGTTGTGCAGAGGGTTTTCGCTCTGGCAGGCTGCACAGAGGTGAGTCCTCGCCTAGATCCTGCTTTGCAGCAGGGAGTGGGAGGTGCATTTCTGCCTAATGAGTCCAGGCTGTGTCATGATCCAGATCTTCCTCCCTGCCTTCATTTCCTTGCAGTTAGTCAGTGTGCTCTGATGCAGCTCCCTTAAATGGAGAGGGATGCTCTGAATTTCATTGTGGTATGGTCTCCTGTGTGCTGTTATGTTAATGGGACACCCTGCAGCATGCAGAGTGTTTCAGTTTTCCCTAGGGATCAAATGCAGTCCTGGACTGGGAGCAGGCTGGGTGCTGGGCGCGAGTGTGCAGAGAGGAAGAGAAGCCCTTCACTCTTCTATTTTTTTTCAGACGTTTTTCTCCTAGGGAACACACCTCCTTGGTGTGCTCGGTTGAACCCTCAGCAGCTTTGCCCCCAGGCCTGGAGGGATCTGAAAACTAACAAAGCCTTTTAATATGTGTAGATAATCTTCAGAGAGCTGGGATCTGCCTTAGTGGCTTCCTGGTGGTGGGGCACTCCAGAACATGTGCTCCCGAGCTCTCTAAAAGCTCTCCTGTTAAACATGACTCCTCATAAACTTGATTTCTCTCCAGGTTCTGCATGGTGTACTCGGAAGTGCCCAACTTCAGTGAGCCCAACTCGGAGCACCTCAGGCAGAACAAACTGGTATGTTGAGCTCGCCCGAGGCACCTCCTTTGGTCTGAGCATTTCACACCAAGCTCTGATAAGACATGTGACTCTTGGAAAAATGGACTTCAACAGACACGTAGATAAGTTGTATGTCTAGCCACTATAGGGACATGGGGAAGAAAAAAACAGTCGCTTGCTTAAAACTGCAGAGCTTTTCTGATCTTTTTTTTTGTGTTTTTTTGTTCTTTTTACATTTCCTCTGAAGGCACAGGGTGAACAGAATAATTGCACTGCATCAAGTAATATGGGTTCTTGTACTTTCGGGCCACTGGGTAAGTTTTCTTTCTTTTATTGAAGTGAAAGGATCAGAAGCACTTGGTCCTTAATGGGAATAAGTGTTGTGTGTGGGTTTTTTTTTTTTTTTTTTTTTAATTGTAAGGAAAAGCTCTGCTTTGCTGTAAAAGATGAGCTGGGAGTTGAAATTGCAGCCATTGCAACCATAACCATGAGTATTTCATGGATGATGGTAATGGCTGCAGGATTTGTCCCCAAGAGGAGACTATCCAATGTGCCTGCATCATAAATAAAAGGGACTTTGCTAATCCTAAATTGCCCTGGTGCTTTAAAAATTCTTGCAGCACTTGAGGTTCTGCCTATAGAGAGAAGTACCAGGCTTTATTTTTCAGCTGCCTGAAACCGTGGCTTCAAAAATGGCTAATTATCATGGCTTTCCTCCCATGGTAACTCTCAGACTGAAGTGGCAATTTAGATTCTAAAGTCTGACCTGACTACATGGTTTTATGACATGCCGCGTCATTAAGCAATGAGACTTGAGCAAGGAAATGCCTCAAAGACTTGGAGTGGGTGTTAGGTGAGCAGGGACCTTAGCTGTGGGCTGGCTGCATGATGCCCACGCTCAGCCTGGTGGGTGACAGCAAAGCTGACATGTAAGTTGTGCTTAGAAAGGTCCACATCGCCTCCATTTGGGGACTGTCTGTTTCCTCCTTAGCAACATGATTATCACTTCTTATTTTTCTTCTCTTTTGAGGCCCTTCTGTTTCCTCAAAAATAAATGAGCAAAGAAGGGCAGTGTCTTGGGGCCTGTTGTCGTGCCAGGGCCAGTCTTGTGGCCTGGCTGGTGCGCAGCTGCCTCCGACGTGTCCTCGTGCTGGGGGTGCCCTGCCTTTCCCTGAGACTGCTTCCCTCTGGAAACCTGCTCTTTGTGCAGCCCTTAACTGCAGGGTTTTCCTTCAGTTTTCTCCTTTCCTTCCCAGCATGACGTGATGGTGGGGATTACGAGCGAGCTGGGTCGCGCTCGTGGCTGGGCTGAGCAAAGAGGCTGCACAAAAGTAGCAACAAACAGGTTGCAGAGGATGGGGTTATTCCTGGAGGACAACTTGGAGCCTTGCAAAGCTCAGGAGGCTTTTCCCCTGTTTCTAGAGAGCAGCGTGGGCTCATTGCTGCTACCCCCCTGCCTGGGGAGGCGGTGCTTTCAGACAGGGCAGCTTGTGACAACCTCTCTCGTGTCTTTTCAGGAAATGGCATGCAGAGCGGAGCGGAGCCGAGCGCCTTCCCGTTTGCGTATAGCCCTGGCCCCTCCTGTGCAGGTAGCGGGAGAGGCGGTGGCCGAGGACATGTAAATCCCACCCTGGCTAACAGCACCCAGCCTCCTCCCCCCGCTGTCGCTAACGGGAGGGACCCACGCAGAGCCTTTAAGAGATGACAGTGCCAAATGTGGTTCTACAGCTTGCTCGAACTCTACACTCTACTTGAACACTTATTGCACTTTTATTTATGGTTAACTGTGAACCAGTTTGTCCTTTATTTTGGGTTTTTAACCTTTCAGTCTATGGAGCAAACTTGATATGACCTCTTGACTTGTTTAGGGAGGCACAGGGATCTTTCTCCCTAAGTTAAAGGGACAGAGGGAGAAAGAGGATAAAAGGAGAAGGGTAACAGTTTGAAGAGTCTCAATTAAAACTCTGCACCCTCGGGTAAATGGAAGACTTTTGGTTATATGTATTTTTTTCTGTTTCTGTTGTCAGCCATAGAGCCTTAAAAGGTCTATAATGTCCTATGTGCACATGTGTGACTTCCATTAGAGCTAGTGGGAGTCGATCCTTTTGGAGGGAAAGTGAGAGGGCCAAAGGTGTCCTTACAAACCAGGTGTCCTTGAAATGAAAGTGGCCTCTAAAAGCAATAAGTGTAATGAAATGACCAGTGCCAGCAGCTAATGGTGTTTTCTGTATCAGTGAATGGGCAACTCAGATGAAAGCTGAAGTTCTGGCGAGACTTCTGACTCCAAAAAGGTTGTATGCTATTTCTTGGACCTGAATACTTAAGTTCTTCATAATTCACAATCTTAACATCCAGTAAAGCCACATCTTTTTTTTGCTTAGGGTAGAGGATTGCGTATTCATATTTGCTTTACATGCAGTAGTAGAAGAGGAAGATTGAAATTAAAAAGGATGTTGGGGAATAAGCTGTTAATTCTGGTGTAAAGTACATTTGGGCTTTTACAGGACAAGAATCTCCAGGAAGGAGTGAGTTCAGGAGCTGTTTTGAAGCACATTGCTCTGTTTTGCTGAGTCTGCCTACTTCTCCTTCCTTTATTCCCTTTTCCAAATCAATTATGTATTGCAACAAGCTGTTTGTGTTGATTGCAAAGGCACTGGCTGAGAAATGGCTGTACTTTTGAGGTTGTTAAGCTGCTAAGCTTTCCTCTCCAGTTTTATATGAAATATGGATTATCTCTTAAAAAATTTACAAAACACAGTCTCTCTTGAGCAAAATAGCTGTGGTTTTATTTTTGAGATTAAAAATGCCTTGACTCTAGGTGATAAGAGTCCAGTGTCACACTTCAGGCTCGGAAGCAGTTTGGAAGCTATGAGGAGACATGCTGGATTAATCTGTTCTTCTTAAAGCTGACCTCTCAAATAAAAGTTGCACTAAACCTTCTCAAACACACCTAACTTCTTCTGTCATACCATAAAGATTTCATGGCAAAAGGCTGCTTCTGACATGCAAGTTTTCCATATTCATTAATGTTAATTGAATCTACTCTTAGGTTGCTGATGTTTACAAATTATTTTTCATTTGGTATTTCTGTTTTTGGTCCTCTGGTGGTGTATGGTGACTTGTTGCAAATTGCCTTTAATTGATGAAGATTCCTTGTTCAGTCTGAAATAGTGAGCTTTCTTTTAAAATCTTCCTGAAGGGAGGTCTACAGACCTGTGTGCCAAGACACCCATGGGCTGTTTGCCTCTGATCTGATGCCTACGTTCAGGTGAACCTGTTTAAGCAAACTTGGCCAAGACCAGCATGATGTGGAACATGTCATGAGGTCACCTGCTGATGCTGCTGTGGAAGGACAGTGTTAACTGGTAAACTATAAAGCAGTGAATTCTGGAGAGAGGGTATAACGAGGTGATGTCTAACTCAGGGATTTTAAATTGCCTACTTATTTAAAAAGTCATGTCCGGAGCCCACATGCAGGGAGCAACCTCTGTAGTGTATTCAGACTTGATGAGCTTGCGAGGAGAAAGCCAGGACAACTCCTAAACTTTGTAAAGTGCAAATGATGTGTTCTAAATGTAAATGAAAAATGGTACTTTCCTATAGTAACTAAAGGTATTAAAAGAATGGTGCAAGAGATAAAATAGTGGGGGCTTTGTGTTCATCAGGATTTCTTGGCTTTGGCGCTCTGAAATTCTGGTGATCTCAACTTCTCTGCCTCATAAGGGAGGCTGGACTGGTGTGGAACTGCTTTAGTGTGTATGTGTGTGGAGGCACCTGGCTGCAACTCTGTGCATCTGGGCTTAATGAAACTTTAATAAACAGAAAAGTTGTTCACAAATACAGGATATAAAGTGAAATGATTACTGCTGATAAACTGCATAAGACTTAAATGTTTGTGGTCAAGTGGATGTTCTGCACTTGGGAAGAAGACTCTTTTCCAGGTTAGTAGCATTTTTGCCTTTTTATTTCTTAAGGGAAACTGTTTCAGTTGTTAACAAGTTTTTACTTCTTTGCAGGGGAAATCTGTGCCCTGAAAAGTCGCATGGACTTAGAGCCAGTGTAATCACTGTAGCTTCTGAAGGTGCTCTGATGCTCCAGGGAGTTTCGGAGCAGGAGCTGGTTTCCTGTGCGGCGCTGACAGCATGGGCCCGTCCTGCAGAGGCACAAGGGACCGGCCTTGCCTTCTGGAGCGTGTCACTGTGGTCACCGAGTGCTGCACAAGAGTCTCGTGGCCATCCCTTAACCAAGCAGCCCTGCGCCTGCTCTGGCACTAACCAGTTCACAAGGACCTAGGGCTTCAGCTGGGCCAGCTCCCTGACAAGTGTCCTTGGAGGGTGTTTTGCAAAGGTTCAGGCTACACAGTCTCCTCTGGGCCCGTTACCAAGTGTGGAGGTGTGGGAGGGGTGCCCGTGTCCAGGTACCAACAGCTGGAGCTGGGGGTGCAGGTGGGAGTCCTGCACGCAGGCAGCCCTTGTCTTGCCTCGGGGCCCCTTTCCCAGCACAAGCACCAATTCCACAGACTCCTGCAGCACAGCAGCGGAGGGGGTTTTGCTCTGTGTCTGCTGAAGTCCTTCCCAGTCCCTGTGTATCTCCCTTTCCCCAAAACAAATCTCCGAAGTCATGCTCCAACATAGCAATCCAGTAGTAAAAACACTGCCCTAACCTTGACTGTGTCCTAGGGCTGTGCAGTCAGTGAACACCCCCACCCAGGTGTGCAGGAATGAGCACAGGCGGTGAAACAAGGCCTGGGCTTCACAGCGGCAGCTTCCATAGCTCCCGGGTGTCTGTGATCCTGCGTGTGTGCTCCTGCCTGTGTGTCCCTTGGCACCCCGTGGGTGCCCGCTGCAGCCCCACGTGGGTGCTGAGAGGGCCCCGTGCTCTGGTGCTGCACGGTGATGGAGTCTGTGTGTGTGTGGAAACGCACAGCGCGCTGTCCCCTGTGCCGGCGGCCTGCTAAGGAGCTGGGGACTCCTTGCTAAAGGAGCTCAACGGGGTGGGACACTGGATTTGGGAATGGGAAAGCGTTCCGTTTAAGGACTGCATTTACTTATTTAAGTTGCTACTGCTTTTAGTTTTTGCTTTTTTCTGCCTTTTTTTTTTCTTCCATAGCAAAGTGAACACAGCAATAAGGGCTTTGCTTAAAGCTGCTGCTATCCCTGGCCCTAAACACTGCCACCATCTCTGAGTTTCCCCAGGAGAAGAGGGACGGAGTGAAACGTCAGGGCAGAGCTCAGGAGAAAATAACATCTTGTCTGCTGCAAGAGTGACTGCACAGCTGAATGCTTCCTGCTTGGGTCTATGTGGCTAGAGATTTGGATTGCAGTCCTGTGCCACGTGCTCTAGGTGACCCTGCGTGTGCAGGGGGTTGGAGTGGATGATCTCTAGAGGTCCCTTCCAACCTTTCTGTGATTCCGTGATATCCACTGTGCAGAATGGAAAATGCAAAGCAGCATAGGCACTAGCTACCATGTGCTAGATCAGCTTGCATATAAGACAGAAAACTGCCTTAAAACATCATTAACTGAGACCTCAAAGGGAGTGCTGGCTCTGTGGGGCGACTATGGAGAAGGGCGCTGTTCCTATCGTTATTTTGATTTATGCATTAGCTTAAATTTGTAGTTTCCTTCTTCTGTGGTTGATTAATCCTAAATTTAATTTTCTGTAATCAACTTGAGTGCGCAACTTGGAGAGATGCGGTTTAGTCTGATTGCAGCAAAAAAATCTGCCTATCCTGATAAGCTTGAATAAAGCAAAACTATTTTTGTCTCTAAATTATGCAATATTTTCCTGCAGCTCTGTAGCCTGCTTAAATGTAACCCTTGGAGGGAGTACTTTGAATGGACTTTTTTTTCCCAGATCACCTAAACTTTGCAAGTGGGTTTTTTAATTACGAGGTACCCAGCTGCGTGTCATTATTAGCAAGGCAGGGAAGGGCAACCGATACTGCTGTCAAACTTGAACCAAATACGAAAAATGTCAAGAACAGAAGTTGCCAAGAAAGTAACTTTAAACACCAGGTGTGGGGCGGGGGGAACAAATGAGAATGACTTATTGTTAGAAATAGTGACCTGAGGCAGACTTTTTATGTACAGGAACAGCATTTGGCTGTGCAAAAACCCCCCAATGTGGCAACCTTGGGCAAGTGCTGCAGCAAGGAAGGAGAGGTGCCGTGATGAGGCTCTGCAAGGATCTTCCCACAGTCGCCCTCGAGTGCTTTGGTGCCAGGCACTGCCCAAGGGCAGTTGTTTTCCCGGGCCCTTTTCCCGCCCGGGACGTGGAGCGGCGGCTCCCTCGGAACGGGCTCCCAGGACTCGGGTGCTGCCTGGGATCAAGGCAGAGCCTCCCGGGCCGTGTTTTCAGTCCTGCAGGTGTTTCCTGTTCCTCCAGGAAGGGGTGATTCACTCTAGCCCAGGATGCGGGGAGTTATTTTTCTTTTCCTGTGCGGTTCTGCTGTGGTTCTGGGTGACCTCGAGAGGTGCCCGCTCTGCGTTTTTGCTGTCTGCCCCTCTTCTCTCTCCTAGGAAGGTGTTTGCTAAAAAGCAGTGTTCAGTGCTCACCTTCTGTCCTGGACAAGCTTCCTCCACCCGGTATTTACTTCTGGTTTGACATCCCTTATGCTCCCTTTCTTTAATGTAATTCCCATTCGGCTTTGCATAACCTAGTAATTTGCCAGCCTGACAAATTAGATCCCCCTTATTTTTCCGTCCCCAGGCAGGAATGACACGGGCTGCCCCCTGCACAACCACCGCTCCTCCTGCGGCCCTGAACTGAATCCCTGGCCGCCGGAGGCCGCGTTCTCTGCAGCCGCATTTCGTTTTGCAGCAAGTTGCCCGC